GATTGTGATCAAATAAAGATAAAGAGAAAGAAAAGAGAGACGTTGTTACGATCATCACCATATAAATAATAATAATAATAATAATAATAATAATAATAATAATGCAATTACTAAGATTAAGCAATACCAATCACACAGTCTAATAATTTGTTCAACAATTCATCTCATCAATCACAATTACTGTTATCTTCCATATAATTCTAATAATCTTGATAATATATCTCAGTCAACAAGATCAAAATCTTGATCACTCTTCTTTATCAACAATTTTTCTCCATGTTTTAAAATAATATTTCAATTCATAATTCAAAATCAAAAATTTACTCTCCCTGTCTTCTTAAACTAATTATGCCCTTTAGATCTGTTTGGTTGAGCGTATATGCCATACGAACGTTCACACAAAGATGAATTTTTCGAGAACAGCTTAATATAACGTAATGTAATGTTTAGCTCTAAATTAATAATATTGTTAAAGTTTTCATGCTGCATTATCATCATAGGATCTGTATGTCAGTTTAAATTTTAAAATTCCAATAACAATTATTTATATATTCGAAGATTGCAAAGTACCAATAGATATTCATTTATACATGTTAAGTAAACACAATCAGGTTATAGAATCATAAGAAAACGAAAAGAATCCATTATCATTGTCATTATTATTGTACTCTTAATTTCTATGGCGATACATTACATTACATATTTTCAGTGATAAATGATGAATTACATTGTGATTGTATGTACTTGCATGCGTAATTTTTTTCATTGTTTTTTTTTTAGATAACTCTATCATTATTTATTTAACATTGATCGTAAAGTAATCATACGAGCGACAGATATGCGAATGGAAGTAAAAAAGCATTACTATTATCATTCTACTGGTTATGGCAAAGAACAATTAATAGGTGCGTTTTTGCTTTTTTCTTTTTTATATGATGGTTATGATGCACGACATAATTGTTGTCGATACCAACAAGTGAAAAAAAAACCAAAGTGAAAAAAAAACCACGATGACAATGACAAGAAGATAAAAGCGATAAATGGGTAATGAAATTAATGAACAAATAGTGAGAAGACGAGAATAAAAGGTGAATCTCGCATAAAGAAATGGATGACGTTACGTTTGTTTTTCATTATCTGCGCTGATTCAATCCGCAACCTTTTTTATTTTTATGCAGGGCAAATTTGCTTAAATGTTTATTTTAGATAAATTATCGATTTGGCGCTAAAAGCAAAACATTATGGCGGAACGAATTACTCAATCGTTCGATGCTGTAACTCGACTGAATTGATATGCGAATCGTTAATTAAAGTAAAGCAAAGGTGTAACAATAATTTGTACTTTATGATTATTATATGATAATGAAGATGATGATTATTATTACTATTATTATTATTTATATGGTGATGATCGTAACAACGTCTCTCTTTTCTTTCTCTTTATCTTTATTTGATCACAATCATACTAAACTTTGTATCATTGTCTTTTTTTATCACACAAGAATTACTCATTATATTGATGCTGGTGTTGATGTTGATAATATTGATGATGATGATGTGGTGGTAGTTATTGTCGTTGTCGTCGTTGTTGCTCTGCAGAAGGCGGTTATTGATGAAGCAGAGGCTAATTTCATAATAAAGTAGGCGGAGATAATAAAGTAGGCGGAGTAGTGTGGGTTGATTATGCATACAGAAAAAATGAGATATTTTCTTCCCTGTATCACAGATTTGCGCATGCATAATCCTTCTCTTTTTTTCTGAAACGTTTTTTGCGTTATATTCAAAGTGTGGAATATTACTCTGCAATGAAAAATCTTGCCAAGGTGTTATTTAGAATGTAAAGATAATTAGCAATACATCTCGGTATCATGGGTCTTGGTTAATTTAAAAACTATTTTCCTTAATGAGTTCATTGCTTTTAAATTTTGTTTCTCTACGCCATCACGTTCAACTCCTGCAATCTACTTTAAATAGCCAAACTCCTTACTCGAATTGGAAATCACAAGTAATACCTTGATATAAATTCATTTGACATTCTAGTTACACATTTGGTTAGGTAAATAAAAGTTATAATGAAAACGTATAAATATAAAATTCTTAGGCACGACTACATTTTTATGTGAATCGAGAAATGAGACTACTACTTGATTTTGGCCAAACTTGGAAACCACAATATTACGAGAACAATAGGCCAACGATAAATGTAAATAAATTTTTGTGATAATGATAATACTAAATTAAATGAGGTATTAATCCATTAATTCAGTGCCCAAAAGCATGCCAACATAAATATTTTTTGAACAATACCTCCCCTAACCCTAAGCACAAATGTTTAATATCAAGAAATAATTCTGGTGAGAAATTCCTTTTTCGTCCCAGTTAATGATCGAAAAAATTAATAATTATCGCTATGTGATCTGATCCACAAACTAAACAAGGAGTAAGTAGGGAAGAAAGACAATATACTTGATTGTGTGATTGATAAAATTTTAAATTGACTGACTGACTTTGTACGATCACGAGAAAAAAAAATCATTTACTCATTCGAACTTTATTTCATTCTGAAAATTTTATGCTAAAAAGCAAAAATCAAATATACTGAACCCCGAACGAGAACATGCATCTTTTGTGATTATTGTTGAACCGATTTGTGTTTATCGCTATATGCATTATACGTATAGGAATCATCTCCATTATTCATTTTAAAGTGTATATGTATATATTATTATATGTAGTTAAAAATGATGATGATATAATGGTCTAGTTTGTGACTGCCTGAGAGCGTCGTTTATAGTTAGTTTGATTAACCGCCTACTCTTTAAAAAACCGGTTTTTTTATGTCGTAACGTTTCTCTTTTACCCAAAATGAGCGAGCAGCCGCTCTCCTTTACACTTCTAATTTCTAGTAGACTGTCGACATCATCGACATTACTTAACGCAACAAAAACCCCTTTAATGCATTGCTTCAAAAGTCTTCACATATACACACGCACAAACACAGAAAGATTAACATCTACAAAAACCAACTTTCGCTAAATAAATTTTATATTATGTATAATATATATATAATATTTTATTATAATGTAGTAATAGCAATATAATGAACTGATTGAGGTTTCTTTTTCCTTTGAAAAAAAATTCCTTGATTATTATCTCTTCTTAACATTAACATTAAGCGATACTTCTCTTTCCCGCGTTTAAAGTCTGGAAAAAATCTTCCATTCATCAACGTTACATACACTTATATATTTATATGTGTATAATAAATATAAATATATATATATATGTGTGTGTGTGTGTGTGTGTGTGTGTGTGTGTGGATGTATAGTAAATTTTATTCAACGCCTTAATAAATATATTAATTTAATGTATTACCTAATCTCTGATAACAACAGAATCAATTAGTTCACTTTTTCTTCTCAACTCACTGCTAGTACTACTTCACATACATTTTACTCATTTTACAGTTTGTTTTTTTTTAACTGTTTAAGCTTACGACTTCGATATCGATATTTTTACATTGTAAATTTGAAAGTTTGTATTTTTTATCTTCCTACCTATAAACATTTTAACAAACTCGAGAAAAAGAGAAAACTACACGCTTTAGTGCTTCAGTATTAGAGTTTCTGTCAATTTAAACTATATTTTTTTCTTCACCTTTTAGTTTGGAGTATTTATTTATTCTTAACCAAATCTCGAAATTTGTATAACTAAATTATTATAACTTTATTTCCACCCATTACTTATTTATCATTCTTACTACACAATTATTTAAAAAACATTATCTCATTTACATTTATCGTTTATTATAACAATAATAATAACAATAATAATAATAAGAATAGTGTTCAACATTATTCTTTGAGCTTTTCTACATTCGTGAGATTTTTGGTATCGTTTTAAAAGGGCAGCAACAACATAACAACCTTGTTGTTGACTGTTAGTGTTCCTTCAGCGCCCAGGACCAGGAAATCTTAGTGACTCTTTTCTCGGTATACACACATAAATCAGGCGGTTGTCGGAAAAAAATTCACTTTTTTACATAAGGAGAAACGGTACGTCAATGCAAAAATAACGTTTTTCTCTCCCCCACCCCCCAAAAAAGTCGATATGCATAATATTTAATATATTTTTAACGGTATCGAATAATGGTCGATCATTTTTTCTCGATTTTAGTATTACAATTGAATGATTGATTGATTGATATCATTTAATTAACTAATTGGAGAACCTCTTTATGTATAGGTTCCCATTCTAAAAATCAAATCAGATTATAAAATGACTACATCATCGACAACGACACCAGAAATCTCAAATATCGCACCAGCAGGAGTTCCAACTGCAATTGGTCCACCAAGTAACATTAATTTCTCCCCAGACAGCAACGGCTCCCCGCAAATACATAACAGCGAATATCAGAATTCATATCAATGGAAGTTACCGATGGTTGCTGTTCGGCCGAAACTGGAACGAGCAAAATCTGAATATCAGCGTGAATTTACGTGGAAAGAGAATCCGTCATCTTCATCATTATCCGTTAATAACAATAATAATAACAATAGTATTAGTAATAGTAATCCACCCACGCCAATACCACCAACTCCAATACCACCAGTAGATAATAATTTATCACGACCTTCTTCGTCCGCATTAAATATAAGATCAGAAACTCCCGCAAAAACGCCCGAACCTCCAAAATTGATTGATGAGATAATGACGAGCTCATCAAACAGTAATAATATTAGTAATTATTCCAGTAATTCTTCTACTATTACACCGGCTAATAAACTCGTAGAAACAAAACCTAATAGCAAGCTTGAACCTGAAGATTTTGGTGTCGCAGCTGCGAAATTCATGCAGAAAACTGCTGGAATTCCTACTCCACGTGATCACAATAATTCATGGAAAGGATCGCTGCGAGCAGAGGTAATATACCTTTTTTCTGATATTCGATAAGGAATAAATCATGTTCACTAATATAACCAAATATTAATATTGTCCATAGCGAAAAGAATCAGTCCTAGCATCAAGCCTCGACGACCAAACAAAAAAAATAGTAGCGCTAGAAGCAAACCGACTCTCCAAAAAATCACGATCATACTCAATGTATTCGTTACGTGATCAGCTGAAAACAGCTGAGGCAGCTGAAGAACTAACCAACCCAATGATGTCGGAATATAAACGTGAATTTGTTGATTGGAAGGAGTATGGACATCAAGTGCGTGAAGAGAGTATTCCAAAGAGAAAAGAGACAGATTCAAAATTGCAGCGAAGAGGGTCTTGGTCTGCTCCGTCGTTGCCGGAACCACTCAAATGGTTGAGTATAGGAGAGAAAAATACATCATCATCAACTAAGCTTCAGCCTACAGTAACGGATTCAAAGTCAATTAGAGGAATTTCTTATAATAATGGTCGATCATTTCCTCAGCGACCAGCCACTTCTGCTGAATTTCGAGATTATTATGATGATTATGAGTTTAATGATAAACTTGATTCCAAGTATAATAGTAATAATATTGACAAGAGATTTTCAAGAGATAAATATTACAATAGTTCAAACAAAGATACGAAATATGATAATTATAAAACAGACTCTGAATATCGTCAAAGTGATAATTACTATGACATTCAATCACATGATCAACTATCTTATCTTAATAATCGACGCGATCGAGATTACGATTATGATAATCATAGTAATCGTGATATGGATTATAATAATAATAGTCGTCAGCCTCCTCGTGACTATGATTATCGAGGAAAATTATATGATGATCGTTCTCGCGATCATCATTATTATGATGATTCTCGCCGTGAAACACAACAACAACAGCGACAACATGATTATGATCCTCGGTATAGAAATCGTGTTAGTCAGTTAATAGAAGAGGATAGATACAGTGAAAGAGGCAGTCAATCAGGCTCCGAATTTGATCGTTACAGCGATCGCGGAAGTCAATTCGGAGAGCACGATCAATATAGTAATCATTCAAGAAACACATCATACTCGTCACAGGCTTCCTCGTTACATAATAAAAGTGTTACATCGGGACTACGTGAAGAATTACTTTCACATCCACATTCATCACCGATGCATCCTTTGCCATCGTATATTGATAATTTGCAGACGAGATCTACTTATAGCTCGAATAGTTCTGTGTCTACGCCAAGTTTGCCACCCACTCCACAAGAATATTATTCGAATGATTCACGATTGAGAAAAACTTTTGTCGCTGAAAATGCTAAAGAAGATCTCTATTTGACATCGTCTATAGGATATACAAAATCTTCTGCATTGAAACCATGGAATATTAACGATGATAAAGAGCATTACCAGAATGATAATCATAACAGTCCGTCAAGAAATGGTTTTTATATTGACGATGATGGTGACGTGCCACCTGAAATGAATGGTCGTTTTAGTTCTAAGCGATATTCTATTGTACAATCACCATCCCCATTAGATAACAATCGTACTTCGTCATCATCATCACAAAGAGGACGACAATTGTATGCAACACCCGGAAGATCACCTTTAGCTTCGGTTCCTCGTTCCTCTGGTGATACCTCATATTCGTCAACTCGATCTCCAAGTCCTGATGAATATCGAAAATATCATCAACGGGTAGTGTCCACACCAAGCCAAGGATACGTATCACGGCCTGAATCACGTGCAGCCAGTGTAAGTAGCCACGGTACCTCTATTGAAGAAGAATCTGTTGTCCTGACTGATATACTACGAGCAGCTGACACTGACTTACTTAAAAGTTTAAGTGCTCAAATGTCTGTATTTCGAACTGCACGTGAAGAAGTTACGCCAAAAGTTGGTGCAAAACCTGCAACAACCACAACAGCAGCAAAAAATGGAACTGTCAAAATGACACCGAAAAACTCAACATTGAAAACAGGAAAATCATCAAATCCTAAAACTACGCGAACTGCTGGTCTTCCTACGCCTGGATTAACATCATCAGCAACAAAACGATCTTCTCAAATAAATGGCAAAAGTCCATTAAAAAATAAAACATCAACAATAACAAACAAAGGACACAAAGCAAGCTCGTCGGCATCTTCAATATCATCTACATCATCATCACCAAGTTTCATTTACGAACGACCAAGTCCAACTTCATTTAGTGATGCAAGAGAAGCATTAAATCGTGCTAGAATGCAAGTTGAACAGATGCTGGATCTTGTGAGCAACGGAAGCTTTGAATTGTAACAAATCAGAGTTTTGGTTAAATATTCAGAAAAACCATATCAAAATGAACAATTGCATGTTGTCGAGCATCACGCGCTAAAAATGATGGGAATGTTGCAATATCATGCTTAAATCATTTAAGTGTTGCTGTAATGTGGAGATTACTTAACGTTTGAGCATTTATCATTTTTATATTATACATATCCATATCCTAAAATTAGCATTATATTCAAGTCGTCTAGAAAAAAAGATAGACGATGTTAATACATATACGTGTATATTAATATATATTTAGGACCATTGCCTAAAAATTATTGTTTTGAAATTTTTTCAAAATTTTATCTTAATTATTTTCATTTTCACCGATACAGAATTTGATCCCGACCCCATCCATCATCATTATCAAAAATAAAATTGCATTCTATTTTATTTGAAAGAGTTCACAGATAAATTTCTTGGTAAATAATTCACATCACGCATTTTGCATATAAATGTTTTTTACATAGAGAAGTATTATTTCATAGACAAATTCAACTTTTATTATTATTATCATTATTATTATGTAAGTAATCACAAATATTAAAAAAATGGTGATAATATATTATTCTTAACATAAAATGTAACAATTATAATTTCAATAATCAAGAATTTTTCAATTTATTTTGAAGATCATGTAATTATATATTGCTTTTTAATTAAAAAGTTGATATTTTTTTTAAATTGATTAATAAAAATTAGTTATTTTATGAAATTTCAATTATCAAAGATGAAAGAGTTTATAATAATTAAAAATTTAATAAGTTTATTAAATAATTTCTTTTATTAATTAAATATAAATTAAGAATTATTATTAAGATATTATTATTAATAAAAATTATATTTTTTTATATTTTAAAATATATAATATAAAAAATTATAAATTTATTGAAATATATATAATATAATAATAACTTAATATTTTTTATAATATATTTAAGAAAAAATATATTTATTACTACTAGTGATAATACTAGATTTTTTTGTGAAAAAATTTTTAATATTTCAATATAATTATCTTGTTAGAAATATTAATTAGTTATTTTAAAGAAAATTTTGCAAGAAATATTTTTTCTTAAAATATAAAAGATAGTTTTATATATAAAATTTTGAGTTATTATTATTTTTTGAAAAATCATTTATTTTTTAAATTTTTTGATCTCATAATTTAATTTGTTATTATTTTTATTACATATGAATTCTGTAATTTTAGTGATTAATTAAATAATTTGGTATTATTATCAATAATAATAAATAGATTTATCTTATATTTAATAATATATTAAAATTCTTATTAAAATTTATTATTTTTAATTAATATAATATTTTAGTTTTTTATTAATTATAATTAATAAAATATATTATTTTTTTATATATAAAATTTTAGTTTAATATACATTTTTTAGATTTTTTACTAGAAATTTATATATATATTATATATAAACTAATTGATTTTTATTATTAATAATTAGTAAAAATTAATTAATTTCATATATAATATATATAAGTTTTTAGTAAAAATTCTAAAAAATTTGAAGAATTAAGATTAATTATTAAAAATATTATTTAAATATTTATATAGTTAAATTATTAATAAATTTTATTCAAATTATTCAAATATTAATTCTAAAAAGAATATATATTAAATTAGAGAATTTTAATTATTTTTGAATTAAAAATAAAAAATATTTATTATTAAAATTAAAAATATTTATATATAACAAATCTATATTTTATTAATTATAATTAATATAAATTTAAAATTATATTAACTATAATTATTATTATATATGGTGCTGGAAGTCTTAACTCAAAATTTTATTTTAAATTACTACATGCAATATAAATCAGCATATCATGTGAAATATATATACACGTAATATACTAATTTATATTTTAATAATAAGTTTAATTTAATCATTATGCAATTGATGTATCATAATAATAAGGCATCATTATTAATATTTATTTATTATCTTTCCTCCCCATGTTTACTTCACTATTATAAATGATCAATATTTATTCATTTTCTTCTTTTTCTATGTTCACTTCTCTATACTCAATTTCTATTATTCTCTCAATATTTTCTGATAATTACCTATGTGATTTAAATTTACTTACAGCCCACTTGACAACTCTACCCTTCAACTCTTTATTATATATATCTATATACCTCCATGACTTATATACAAATTTGCGGACTGTAATTATAGGTATGCTATTGAGAACTTTAGGAATCTGATTCAATAAGTATGTATAATTATAGTTACATAGGTATCTGATTTCTCACTTTAAAAATCTCCAGTATCGCTCTATGAAATTGCATTCACAATAGAATTTTGGATAATATTCAAAGATATGTCCCACATTTATAATTGCTTCATGCAATATTAATTATTGTTCATAAAAATTAGGCTGGAATGACAAAATTTTTTGTGCATAACAATCCAATCTTATTAGATCATCATGTTTCTTTAAGTATTTCTTACATACCAAATGAACTTTCTTTGATAGCTAAAGATTACGTTCTATAAGTACTTGCTTAATATTTTTAGATTGATCTCTTAGTTTTTTAATCAGATAATAATTAGGAAATAGTATTGATTATACATGTCTTTTTTCATTTTCATTAACATACTAACTGTCACGCATCTTAGATTATGCATCTTCAGAACTTAAATTCATTTTCATCATGATTAGTACATCTGCTACCATAGTATTGTGATTAGTAGATTGATCAAAATAAAAAATGCCAATACATCCAGGATGTAGTATCTCAAATATTGGTATTGCTTGACGCATAAACTTTATTTATAAAAACAATTAGTTTTTAATTTAAAATTCAAAAAATAAAAAAAAGTTCAAACCTGATTTAACATATGTTCCAACTTCCAGTATTCATCTTCTTGAATAGAGTGAAGAACAAAAGATTCTTGATGTTCAATATGTGAATTGGCTTACAATTGCTGCTTGGATAGTCACAATAGACCATGACATGGACATAAAAAAGCTGAAATCATAATAAAACATCCCAAGTGTTTTGAGCATAGGATATTCTCTTCTTCTTAGATCCAGATTCTCCATTAACTATCATTTAGGTAGAAGTGATATTTGTTATGTGTTACTTGAATAAACTCCTTTTTTTCTGGCTTGAGCTGGAGTTTTATTATAGTGTTCAATGCATTACCATTGAAATCCTTCATATTTTTCTTATATATAAATATTTACTTCAACCATTCTTTTCTATATGCCACCACATTAGATCGCTCATACTTGTCATAATAAATATCCTTTCTTTTTTCATCATATCTGTACTCTCAAGAATATATATAATTCTGACATGTCTTCTCAGAAATAGTATCTTTCTTGATATAATCCATTGATTTTGGAAATAATATATTTTCGATATATACTTTTAAGTTTCTTGGAGAACATACTTTTGATTCTTATTGTCAGAGCCATGCTTTGAAATTTTTGGTAAAATCTTCATCATCCAACAAACTCTTGAGCTTCATGTACTTTTCTTGATGATGGATTTAAAGTGTTCTGGTCTATATAAAATAACTTTCTCACTTTCAAATATACATAGTTATGTAATCTTTTTTATGCCATATTATTTACGTAATTTGATGACTGATATTCATCTTGGATTATTCATCTAATAACAATTATATGAATTGGTGAATACTGAGAAGGCATAAATAATTATATGTGAAGATTTTATTATTTTCTTTCATAGATTTTCCTATTAAATATTATTGGTCAAGTTCTTCTAAATAGATGTATAATAAAGATGGGTGAGAATATTGTGCAGATAAGATAGTTTGCACAGACTGGAAAAATATATCAATCATTTTCATTTCTTTAACATGTTCTTCATGCTTTTTTTTTCTTTATCTTTTCTCTATAACATCATTCTCAAGATTCCAATATACATAATTCTAAGATTACTCTCAGCATCATTATGACAGTTAAGAAATCTTTTCTTGACTTCTTCAAACTCTCTCAAATCTCATTCTTTGAAAACTTCTTGAGTATTAGTAATTGTCTCCATAGTATTTCTTTCATTGAAAGAGTTAGTGATGCCAGTGGCTATTCTCATGATAATTTGGCATTCCTTGTCATAGATGTCAGTGACTCTTTCCATGGCAAATTGGTATCTCTTTTTAGAGATATATTGATCCCTCTTTCTTGGCAAATTACTTACCTATTTTTGTTACTTTGTATGGGGTGACATCCTTGCAGTCTGTGGTTAGTCTCACATGATTCTAAATCAATAAGAGAATAATCTATTTATAAATACCAATCAAATTAGCATGATCCTCAATTACTACTCACGTAAAATAATCTATTGACCAATAGAATATTACAGCTAATAAAATTTGCTAAAATTAACCAATCAAATAATAGTCACATGATAAAATTTATTTTAATTTCTGAACTAAACATAATAAAATACTCAAAAGTACAAAAATTTAAATCATTATAACTTTTTATATTTAAGTTATTTGAAAATTTTGATTGGTAGTTTGAAAGAGCTTATTTCAAAAAATAATATTATCAGTTTATTTTTTTTAAAATTTATTTTTACAGAGTTGTAATAAATTTTAAAGATACTTTATTTTATTTTTAAGTTAAGACTTCCAGCACTATATTCTAAATATTTTTAAAATATATATAAAAAAATATATAAAATTCTATAAAAAAGCAAGTTATATATAAAAATAAATAATTAAAAAATTTTAAATTTAAAATTTGATTTAATATTATTAAGTTTATAAAAGTTTAATAAATTAATTAATTAATAATAACTAATTTAATTATTAAGTAATTAAATTTATATTTTTAATTGAAAAAAATTATATATAAATTTATAAATTTAAATATATTAATAATTTAAAATAAAAAAATAAGAATTTTTAATTTTAAATAAAATTTATAAAAAAAAATTATTATTAAAATATCATATAGATATATTTTAATAT